CCCGGGCTGGCCGGGCGGAGGGCGGGGCGGGCCAGCGGGCTACGAGGAGGAGGAGGAGGCGAAGGAGGAGGAGGAGGAGGAGGAGGAGGAGGAGGAGGAGAGCGACGACGAGGAAAGGGCGCGGAGGAGGAGGAGGAGGAGGAGGAGGAGGAGGAAGGAGGAGGAGAGGAAGAGAGGCGCGGAGGAGGAGGAATAGGAGGAGGAGAGCGACGACGAGGAAAGGAGGAGGAGGAGGAGGAGGAGGAGGAGGAGGAGGAGGAGGAGGAGAGGGAGGAGGAGGAGGAGGAGGAGGAGGAGGAGGAGGAGGAGGAGGAGCTGTGGGGCTCGCCCCGTCCACGCCGACAGCCGCGTACCGTACCTTCCGCCCCACCATACCGGGCTTTCGTTCCGAGCGGTGTGCACCGTGCTTTCGCTTCTTCGCTGCTCGGTGGCGCCGCGCAGTGGCAGGGACGGCCCCGTCCCGGGGCCGCGAAGTGGCGGGAGCTGGAGCTCCACACGGCGCGGGGCTTCCCTGGCGAAGGCCCCTCGGCCCCAGGCACGCCGCTGGGAGGGGAACGACGGGCAGCGGCCAGAGCGGACGGGATGGACGTCGACACGCTGGCGCCACACGCTGCAGAGACCAGCGGTCCAGCGATGCTGCACGACGGAGCTCGGAGGGTGGAGGTGGACGCCGCCCGTGGGCCAAGGCAGAGCCGGCGCCGGGGAGAGCAGCAATGGGCGACTGACACTCAGAAGCCCACACTTGGGTCCCGCAGTTTGTGTAGATTGTGCCAGACCGTTTGACACGATAGCGAGGTCAAAATCGCGACATGGGGAAGCAGGGGCCGGGGCAGGTGGAGATGTCTGGGGCGCACGTCTGCTCACGCTCTGCCGGGGGATGTCTGCGCCCCGAGGCCGGGCGGAGCCGCCACGAAAGAGCGCGTCCAGGCTGCCAGGGCCGCCTTTGCAGCCCGGGCGGGGAGGCAGCTGTTGGGGGCGACCGGCGCATGCAGCAATCGTGAAAAACGCGAGGCCCGCCTCCGCCCCGAAGCACGCGGCACGGGCGAGCGGGGAGCTCCCGAAGCGGGCCGAACGAAAGGGGGGAGGGAAAAAGGGGGGTTTGCGAAACCTGCCGCATGCAGCTGGTTTTCAAGCAGTGTCGAAGCGTCCTGGTGCCCCTAGAGGCCTACCAAATAATGTTCGAAAAACAGGTTGTGTGTTTCCACGACATGTTCGTATAACATTTCTGGGTGGGACTGTCGTGTGATTGTTTTTTTCACATCGGGACGATGCTCTGAAAACATATGGTCGATTCTTGGAACATTTTTTGGTTCTAAATACATGTCGTTGTAGGCCTATAGGAATGCCAGGACGGTCGGTCCCTGCTCAAGGTTTCGGCCCCGCTGCCGGGCCCATTCCTCGATGCATGGGCGCCTCCTGGCGCCGTGTGGCGGTGGGAAAGTCAGCGTATATGTGAGCTGATTCTACCCTGCCCTTTGCTACTCCCCCGCGCCATTCCCCCCAACTGGGGGTTCCCACCTTCTTCCTGTTGCCAGATCGCCAGCGTGGCGCTTTCGTCGCGGCCCGCGCCGCGGGTTTGGGAGCTCTGCGGCCGAGCTGCGCGGCGACGCCGAGCGCCGCCGAACGCGCTCCCTTACTGGCAAAGGTCCGGAAAACCAGCGCTCGCCTCGACGCCCTCCATCGTGAGCCCCCCGCGGCGGATCCAGGCCATGTGCGCGTAGTGGCTTTGCAAGCACCCTAGCGCGATTGCGTGGAGCAGGAGCGGAAGGCCCTGCTCCTCTTCGGCGGCACGCTGCTGGCGCGCCCGAGAACGCGGGCGACGTGCGCGGAGGCCCTGGAGGAGCGCCCGGCGTGGTTCTGGGGCAGGCAGATGGGGCGCGGCGCAGCTGGCCCGGCCGCCCTCCCGCCGAGGGCGCGGCCGGCCAGGGGGACCAACGGGCGCCGATCAAGCAGAGGCGAGGCGCCCTGGTTTGCATATGGGCCCACAAAATAATAGTCCAATAGCAGTTTTCCTGTGGCCTGCGCGAAATGTTATTTGAACCTTTTGGCCGGTATTGTCTTGTTTTATCACATTGGGTTCACGTTTTCGGGACAGTGTTTTTCGTTATTCGAACACTGTCGGGGGCTAAGAAGATTTCGTGGTAGGCCTATAGGAATGCCGGGACGGTCGGTCCTTGCGCAAGCAGAGCACGCCAGGTACACACCCTGGCGTCTGCCGGCGAGCGAGGAAGGCAGGGCGTTCCATTCCTTGCGCGGCGCGCCCATGGCCCCAGGCACAGCAAACACTCTCGCCGAACTCGGGGCCAGTTTCCCTGGGGGCGCCGCCAACGCAGCAGCCGCCCACACCGGCCCCCCAGCCGGGGCTGCTCCAGACGCGGGCGTGCCCCAGGCAATCCGCGAGGAGATCGGCGGTCTCCGGCGGCGGCCCCCGCGCCTGACGGCACCATACTTGTTCGGGGCGCGCCTCGAGCAGCAGGCTTCGTGCGCGGACGATGTGTTCGAGTGAGTGGCGGGGGCGGGGGCGAAATTCACCTCCGGGGAAGTGCCCCCGGCGGTGTTGCAGGCCCTACGGGTCGTCGAGGTCGCCGCCGTTAACGAGGGCGGGGGCGAGGTCCGCCCGTTGCTGGTGGGCGCCACCCTGCGGAGGTTGGGGACGGGGGCCCAAGCAAAAGTGAAGAAGACGAGACTTCACGCGGTGGCGGGGGCCCCACCAGTATGGGGTCGGCCGCAGCAGCGCGACAGACCCCATTCCGAAGCATTTGCAAGCGCAGGCGAACCTTCACCCGATTATTGCGTTCATAGAATTGGACGTCAGAGCTGCCGTCCAGAGCGGTCCGGCGATCGCATCCATGGCGGACATATGGTACAGCGGCCTTGCGGTCCACCTCTGGCGCGACGCGGCCGGCAATTTTTGAAGAGGTCAAGAGCGCCCGCGGTTTCGACCAAGAAGACCCGTTGGCGCAGCGGCCTGGACCTGGACGCGGACACCCGGATGTATTCTTATTTAGATGACGCGTGCATCGCGGTACCCGTCGCGCTCGCGGCGCAGGCATTCCAGTTCCTTCCGCAGGCGTTGGCTCCCTGCGGCCTCGAGCTGAACCAGAGAAAGACCTTGATATGGTCCCCACCTGGGGCGGCGGTTCTCCCGCCCGAGCTGCAGAGGTACTGCGTGGCGACGCTGCCTGTGTTGGGGGCGCACTTGAAGGTGAGCGGCGACCAGGCCGAGGCTCCCTCCCAGCTTGGCCAGCAGGAGGGCTGATTGGGCGCAGCCGCGGACAGGTTTATAGCGACCTCTGGCAGGCCTTCTGGCCGCTCACGCAGCACGGCCTGCGGCGACAGGCAGCCGGGAGCTTGCTCACCACCGGCGCCGGCGCGGTCAGCCAGTACGCGTTGCGGGCCAGGCTGGCGGCGGACCACGAGACGCAGCGTTACGACGACGCGCGGTTCCCCACTACCGGGATGAACTGGCTAGCAGGAGCCTTGCGCCGCTGAACAAAAGAGGTCCTGGGCCTCCCGCGCAAGGAGGGCGGGGCAGGCGTGCAGTGGGCGGCCACGCGCAGGGCGCCCGCTTCCTGAGCTGGCTGGTCCTTCGCCGCGGAGTGGGTGACCGCGGACGCCAGGGCCTCGGCGGACGAGCTGCTGGAGGCGCTGCCGGTACTGGAGCAGGCGCTGACGCGGGCGCGCGCAGAGCTGCGGTCCCGCGGAGCAGACCCAGCGTCCGGGGCCATTGGAGGCCATCCGAACCCTTGTTGAGCAGAGTAAACTCGTGAAGCCCGCGCAAAAGAACGCGCGCGCGGCCTTGTGCCGGCGCTGGCCCCAGCAAGAGGGAGCTCTGCTGCTGGGGGCCGGAGGCCCCGGGGCGGCCGCCTTCTTGTTTACCCCAGCGACCCAGCGTGCTCCACGGAGGACGAACGGTGGTCGACGGCGCTGCGCTCACGGGCGCTTAGGCTGGAGTGCGCGCAGAATGAGCTGGCCACCGCCTCGGCTGTCAGCCAGAACCGAGCCAGAGGAGGCGGTCCAGGCGCCGCCGCGTGCGGTGAGCAACTGGACGACTGGGCCAGCCACGCCGCCGTCTGCGTCCTCGGGGGAGGCGTCGTCAAGCGCCACGGGGGGCTCGAGGACTCAGTAGCCAGACTGATCAAGCGATGGCGCCACCAGGAGCCCCTGCTGGAGCAATGCGTCCCCGCGCGGGACCGCCAGCGTTCTCGGCGCCCCGCGGGCCCCCCAGATGCAGACTTGCTCGAACGGGCCGTTTTGGATATCGAGTACCACGAGGGCGCGGGGCGGCATTGGGCGGGCGTCTCGGTGCGCCACTCAACGTCGGAGCATGTCGTGGGCGGGGCCGCCCCGGCCAGGGGAGGCAGCCAGAACGGGGGAGGGAGAGAAGCACGCGCGGTACCCAGGTGACTGCTTAAGGCCCTTCGTGATGGAGACCCCGGGCGCTTGGGGGCGAGGCCAGACAATGGCTTGTCCGCCAGGTGAATGAGCACTGCCCTTCTGACCAGCAGGGCGCGAAGTTTTTCCGCGCCTATCCGGTGCTCAGCTGCATCGTCCAGACGCAGCCGGCCCTGCACGCAGAGCCGCCGGCCTTCGCTAAGCGCGCGGGCGGTGCGCGCCAGCAGCACCTTCCCCATCCTCTGCCCCTTCCTCCTCTTTCTGGCGTCGCCCCCCCCCGCGGCCCACGGGCGCCTAACGCAGGGGTGTTCAGAGGAGGAGGAGGAGGAGGAGGAGGAGGAGGAGGAGGAGGAGGAGGAGGAGGAGGAGGAGGAGGAGGAGGAGGAAGAGGAGGAGGAGGAGGAGGAGGAAAAATAATAAGTGGAAGAGGGGGAGGAGGGAGGAGGAGGAGGAGGAGGAGGAGGAGGAGGAACAGGAGGGACAGTAGGAAGAGGAGGAACAGGATGAGGACCTCCCATCCCCCCTTTCCCCCCGTCCTACTTCTGGTAGCGGTGGTGTAGCTCAGTTGGAGATGGGCGCGGAGGGTGGGAGTGGGGAGGGGCCAGGACTTTAGCAGACCTGGCCCAGTCGAGCTGTACCGCATCTACAAGGCTAAGGTCTCGCGAGTGATGGAGTACGGCTGTTTCATCTCCATGGACACGGCGGAAGGCCTGGGCAAACCGCCACCGACGACGCCGACGACGACGACGACGACGCCGATGCCGACGCCGACGCCGACGCCGACGACGCCGTCGCCGACGACGACGACGCCGCCGCCGACGACGACGTCGACGACGACGATGACGACGACGAAATTTTTTGTGGTTGGGCGCGGCCCCTCGTCGCCCCGATGCTGCGCACGCTTCCGCTCCTTCCGCCTGTTTGGCGTCTTGTGCAGCGTTTTTGTGTGTATGTGTTGGGCGTTTGCGCGTTCTTCCCCCATATCGTTTTTAGTTTTGTGTTGTTCCTCCTTCCTGCCTTGCCTTTCCTGTTCCTCCTTCCTGTTTTGGCCGCTGGCTTTGGATGCGGGTAAGATCCCCTGGGGCGTAACACGGATCCCGTCCACCTTCCGTGGGGCCCTTCCGCCCTCCGTGGCCTCCCCATTGTGCTGTTGCCCCTCGTGCGCGCGGGTTCCTCCTCCTGGTCCGCCCTGGCTCCAGAACTCCGACGCCGCGATTCCTGATGGAGTTCCCCTTGTAGAGGGCTCCGGTGGAGGAAGAAGAAGGGGACCACACAGGAGACCCACCGGGAGGACGGGGAGCCCCAGGGGGCTCTTTCGCGGCCGGTCTCCTGGCATCGCCGCTTCGCCTCGGTTTGCCTCCGAATTTGTCCTCCTGGGATCGCCGCTTCGCTTCGGATTGCCTCCGAAATAATTCGGGAGTCGTGCTTTCGCCTCGATGCCGGCTGCATTTTTTGGCGTCCGGGCGGCCACGGTCCCCTCTGAACAAAACCCTCCGCGGTGTATAGTGCCTTTGACCCCCGTCGCGCGGCCGCGCCGCCCTGCGGTGCGCGCGGCCGTGCTCTCCCGCCCCTGTCGCACGGCCGCGGTCCCCGGCAGGGGTGCACGCGGCCGTGCTCGCATCCCTGTCACTCAGGCCGTGGCGTAGCGTCCCGGCTCGCCTATGGCCCTGCCAAGCAGTGTTCTGAGAACCTTTTGTGGCTTCCACGAAGTGTTCTGAGAACATTTCTGGCGGAGTCTGTCTTGTTTTGACACGTCGGGTGGATGTTCTAAGAACATTGCTGTTGTTCTTAGAACATGTTGGGGGTTCTAAGAGCATTCCGTGGTAGGACTAAAGGAATGCCGGGACGGTCGGTCCCTGCTCAGACGCGACCGTGCTCTCATCCCTGTCACACGGCCACGATGCTTGGTAAACATACTATACGGTGCACAGGGCCGTGCTCCCAGCCCTGTCACGCATAGGAGGCCCTTCTGGGTTTCCCAGCAAGCGTGGGGGAGTGCCCCCCCCCGACGGGGGTCAGCCTCGCCTCGTCGTCGCGCCTCGACGGGGGTCGGAGCGCCCGCGGCGCGCGGTGGCTGCCAGCGACGGGGGTCGACATGGGGCTGTCGGCGCGGGTGACGCCCCCCCGACGCTGATCAATCAGGAGGGGACAAAACACAGACACACTGAATCGTCGATTCCCAAGACAGTATTTGAAACTATGGGGGTTGGGGGAGAAGGCAAGAGCCCAGAAAACATGGGAAACTATGGGACATCTTGCTATTGGTGTGTATTCATTTGTGCGTCCCAGGGCCCCTTCAGGAGTGCGCAGGGCTGCACGCGCGCGCTCATCCGCAGAGCCCACACTGGTGCGGACTCCTGCGCAGGCCGCCCGGCCAGCGGCGACCGGACCGGGCGGGCTCTCCCGCCCGACCCACCAGAGAACGACTTGGCATCGCTCGGACGTGTGCATTTTCCCGTCGGCGAGGACCATCGAGGAGCATCCTGGATCATCTGGCGAAAAAAACACGCACGACATCGAAGAAGGCACAGGGAGTGGACGTCCGAGCGATGGCCAGACGATGCAAAGTGAGTGGGGATCGTTTTTTGATGCCTTGAGTTGCCGATCGGCGCGTGTCCTCGCAGCCCCGCCCCCCCCCCTCTCCCCTGGAGGAGGTCTTGGCCGTTTCCGGCGCCTGCTTCAGACAGGTGGAGCCTCCCCCACAGGGCGCACTGCTGCAAACGGTTGCGTTCAGCAGAGGTCCGGAGGCAGACCTCCCCCTCCCCCCCCCCTTCCGCCCAGTGTCGAAGCGCCGAATACGGACACGTTCACATGAGTCTCGTCTCAGCATGAGGTCTGTCAGTCGTCGACGCCGCAAGATGCGTGGCGCCGCGCCCATGCTCTAGAGAACCGAGCTCCTTCTTGGGCGCCTCGCACGGTTCTCGCTCACAGCTTCGTCGACCCGCGAGAGGACGAACATGTTGCTCTCGCCTCGCCGCCGTGGCCATGGTCTCTCCTGCAAGCGGCGCTCCCGCCTCGACGCGGCGCCTCCTTTCCACTCGCCACCCTTGGGGGGCCCGCGCGAGTGGGCGCCTCTAGGGGGCCACATGCGAACCCTACCCCTACCCCCGACGACTTCTGAGGGGGAGGGTGGGGTTCACTTCGCTCGGGAGCTCCCGAACGAAGTGAACCCCACCCTCCCCTAGCCTAGGGGTAGGGGTAGGGTCCGCATGTGGCCCCCTAGGGGTAGGGTCCGCACGTGGCCCCCTAGCCTTGTCGCCCTCGCCCACAGGAACTCCGTGTGCGCCTCTCGCGCGGGAGTGCGGCGCTCCCGCTCGGGCGCGGCGCAGGGCTCGCTCGCCGAGCCGCCGCTGGCTGCGCTAGAGCGCGCGCGACGTGCCCGTCTCGCCCGAGCGCCGCGCGGCTCCGGAGTGAAAGTCGGGCCAGACGGAAGGGTAGATCGGGCCGGGCGAAAGGGGGGGATTGGGAAAGGGGGGGTTACGAGATTTGCTGCACGCAGCTGGTTTCGGCCTCACCGAGGGGCCCGATCCTCGATACATGGCCGCCTCCGGCGCCGGGAGGCGCCGGGAAAATCAGCTACGTGAGTTGATTCTCAAACCCCCCCTTTGCTATCCCCCCCTTTCGCCCGACCCGAGTAGAGGATGTGGAAGAGGGGGGTGACAGAAATGAGCTGCCTGCAGCCCGTTTCCGACCCGCCGCCGCGTGCCACTCCTCGATGCGTGGGCGCCTCCCGGCGCCAGGAGGCGCCAGGGAGACCAGCCGCATGAGCGGATTGTCTACCCTGCCCTCTGCTATCCTTTTGAGGGTCCAGGGTTCGCCAGGGGTCGACCTTGCCCACGTCGGGGGCAATCCCCTCGTCGACCACGCTGCTGGAGTAGGCTCGAGAGCACACGGGCTCCTGTCAAGCACGATCGGCATCTACACTTAGGTCGGGCATGTCCTCCTACAGGGGGATTTTGAGCGAAAACTGAGAATTCTCAAAAAATCCCAAATCATGTCAAACAATACCGAAAAAAACACGTGCCCAGACGAATGTTTAACTATTTTTGAGTATTCCTCCAGAGGGACGTGCCCGGCTTAAGTCTACATTCAGGCTTTTGTTGAACATGAGAAATTCGTAGCAGGAGATTGTGCCATTCCCCACACATGGCCGAAACCCAGAGAAATCCTTGGATATCTCAGCGGGATCAAGACGGCTCGCAGCCCACGGACCCAGGGGAACCCTCACCAAACTATCTGGGACGCTCGGCCTTCAGGTGCAACACATGCCTCCGATGAGGTTCATCTGCAACTAAGTTCCCTTGACAAGCCCTGACCCCCGCACTCGCCGAGCTTGTGCTCTGAAGAGGTGGGGAGGGTCATGCTTTGCATGCATCAAGAGTTGAAGATCGTGGGTTGCCTGTCTTCTTCTGTGTTATGCGTGGAAGGCTCGCAACGCAGAAGACACGCGGCCGCTTGGATCGATGCCCCCAGCCCAAACGTTCGAGCGATCGGAGCAAGCTGCTGCGAGGCCTTCTCCCCAGAACCTCTTTGAGACTTGGCCACCATTTTCCCTTGGCTTTCCTCATTCGTCGGTTAGGGTCGTCGTCGTCCGTTCCCCTCCAGGGGCCAAGTTCTCAGCCCACGTGTTCGGCCGCCCCTCGACCGATGGATAAGCACGAGGAGCGCTCGCCAGCCGCCCAGGCCGCCCAGCCCCCTGTCGAGGAGGCACGGCAGCCAGGCGAGCAGCTGCGACGGGTGGCAGAAGCCCCTCGAACGAGAGGGCGACGTCGCCCCTCTCTTCTCGGCTGCCCGAGTGGCAGGTCGGCCCGCCCAGCCCCGATCGACTTCTGCCCCGGCCCCGGCGTGGACCCGCGTGTGCCACTGCTGGCGGCTCCCTCCTCGGCGCGCGCAGTCAGCCCCGGCAGGACTGGGCCGCGGCGGCCCGCGCGGGGCTTTCAATGGAGGAGGAGTGGAAGGCGAAGGGTTTGGTTGAAAGCTGCCGCGGCCTAGAAGCTGTTTCTGGCTACATCTCCGTTTGAGGGGATTGGGCGAGGGCTCGGCCTCTGCTGGGCCGTATGATCATCCCGCTTCAGCTTCGAACGTCTTGAGGAGAAGTATGAGTATGAGGAAGGAGGATGTAGAAGGAGGGGGCAACGGGGAGGATGGAGGAGGACGAGCAGGTTGGAGCATGATGACGACGAGTATAGAGAAGGAGGAGGAGGAGGAGTAGGAGCAGGAGGAGGCGGAGGAGGAGGAGGACCAGGAGGATGATGGAGGAGGACGAGGTGGGGGCGATGGAGGAAATGGGGGAGGATGGTGGAGGATGGAGGAGGATGGGGGGGGGATGCCTCCTTCCCGCGGGCGCCAGCGACCCGGGTGGCAGGCCCGAAGGAGGGCCTTTGCCACCTCAGCGAGACGTCCAAGGACACCAGCGGGGCAGGCTTCGTTTCGACTCCTCCGGTGGGATTCGATTCAATTTCGATCGGTTCCGATTCCGACCCAGGTCGAGACTCCGGGTTCCGATGTGGGCTTCGGTTTCTCAATGGAGACCTTGCTAGCCTGACGATTTCCGCCGATTCGACTTCTCCAGACCCGGCTGCCGTTTTCAGCCGATCCGATTCATGTCGGCAGCCGATCCGACTCATCGGTTCGATTCTGGGACCCCCTGAGGGGGGACATCGTCGTCGTCGTTGTTGGTCGTCGTCCGTCGTCCGTCGTCGTCGTCGATGTCGTAGTCGTCGTCGGCGTCGGCGTCGTCGTCGTCGTCGCCGTCGTCGTCGTCGTCGCCGTCGTCGTCGCCGTCGTCGTCGTCGTCGTCGGTTTCGTCGTCGTCGTCGTCGTCGGCGTCGTTGTCCGCCGTCGTCCTCGTCCTCGTCGTCGTCGTCGTCACACCAACTCGCAGAAAGGGGTCTTGGGGAAGGGGGGTGCTTGTTAGAAGCACCCCTGCCTCTGAAAATGCCCCGTCGATCAAAGAAGCGCAGACACGTGTTGAGGCGCGCGGGTCCCGTTTCTCTGCGAAGTCGGCGCGATCCGTCGCCGAGTCAGACGGCCTTGGCCTCACGTTTCGGGTCTGAAGTCGAAGCGGCAAGCGTTTTCGAATGATCCCAAGACGGATGGGGGACACATGTGCCCTCTCGGAGGCCCCGGGGGCCCTTATGGAGACCTTGTGGGGCGTCTTTGGGGGGCTTGTCGGGCCGTCTCGGGGTCTTTGGGACTACCTCGGGCCCCTCTTGGGCCGTCTCGGGACTCCCTGGCCTTTGCAGAGACGACTTGGAAACGTCAGGGAACTTACAGAAATCGTGGGCCTGGGGCCCATTTATGGTCCACTGAGAATCCTGAGCGACCTGAGGACACCCCACTCGGTGCCCACAGTATGGTGGCAGATTTCGATGGTTTTCCCTTCTTGGGTCTTCGCCGAAGCCCTGTTGGGCCTCCCGTCGAGGCACATTGAGCCCTTTGGTGCGGAGCTGGTTGGGCTTTCCTTCTAGGAGCCACCTTGGGGATAGCGTTAAGTCGGGCATGTTCGTCTACAGGAGGAATATTCGAGAATAGTCAATAAGTATGGGGACTAGTTTTCTAGTATGCTGCCAATAGCTGCGTGTCGTTTGATTATGTTTTTACCTAACAGCGTTTGCTGATAGGTTTCTAGTAGGGTCAAAAGAGAGCATCATGACTCCTCAGGGGGGTCTGGGCGGGTGCCGGGGAGGAGAACCGGGAATCGCTTTTCGCTAACAGTCACACACTTCGTGCTCTTCGACCTCCCAGAACTCCATTCCCGGGCCACATTCTGGAGAACCGGGAACAGAGCCGGGCTCGCTTTTCGCCAACAGTCACACACTTCGTGCTCTTCGACCTCCCAGAACTCCATTCCCGGGCCACATTCTGGAGAACCGGGAACAGAGCCGGGCTCGTTTTTCGTCAACAGTCACACACTTCGTGCTCTTCGACCTCCCAGAACTCCATTCCCGGGCTACATTTTGAGTGCCCGGAGCCAACTGTAGGCCACTTCGTGCTCTTCGAGTTCCCAGAACTCCATTCCCGGGCCACATTTTGGATGCCCGGAGCCAACTGTAGGCCACTTCGTGCTCTTCGAGTTCCCAGAACTCCATTCCCGGGCACATTTTGATGCCCGGAGCCAACTGTAGGCCACTTCGTGCTCTTCTAGTTCCCAGAACTCCATTCCTGGGCCACATTTTGAATGCTGAGGCAGGCTGATGCTGCGGCCGAGGCAGGCTGAGGCTGAGGCAGGCTGAGGCTGAGGCCGAGGCTGAAGGCAGACTGAGGCTGAGGCTGAAGCAGACTGAGGCTGAGGCTGAGGCTGAGGCTGAAGGCTGATGCTGCTGAGGCTGAGGCTGAGGCTGGCTGAGGCTGAGGCAGGCTGAGGCTGAGGCCGAGGCTGAAGGCAGACTGAGGCTGAGGCTGAAGCAGGCTGAGGCTGAGGCTGAGGCAGGCTGAGGCTGAGGCTGAGGCTGAGGCAGGCTGAGGCTGAGGCTGTGACTGCGACTGCCGTTGCCGCTGCGACTGTCATCGCGAATGCGACTACGACTGCGAGAACAGCAGAATTCTACAACTGGATTTTCATCTGAATCTTAAGGGGAATGCTTTTAGATATGCTTCTACATATCGCTGTTAGGTTGCTTTGCCGGGATAATTATTTTTCGTCGAACATCCGCCTGTAGGAGGACATGCCCGACGTAAGGGTAGCGTGCACCGAAGAAGCCCTGGCAGGTGACATCGTGTACAGAGGGGGCCCTGACGTGGGGACCGCCTTGTAGGGATGGCATACTCTCTGGAAGTCGATGCTGAACGCTACCCTTCCAACGCCAGCAGTAAGACAACCATTCGAACACGCCCTAGCTCGGAAACTGGAACACGTGCATTACCAGTGGCGGGCTGCTTTTCAATCCCAGGACTTCTTGAGGGTCGGGGACGACGCTGGGGTGGTGTGGTGTATATACCTGTTTCCCCGATGTCCCGGGGAGACAACGAAACATGCCTACACCAGAGTCCCATATACACCAGGATCCGCTCTCCAGTGCAAATGTCAGTGCAGGGCCGGAACATGCGCCGGCGCGAAGACTTCGAGTCCCTACGAGCGTGCCCAGGCAAACCCAGCATGGTTTGGCTCGCGCGAGTCGGGCGGCGGGCCTCGCGGAGCTCCGCGGCGGGCGCCGTGGGGCGCCGCGCTGTGGACGGCACGGCGGGCGATTGGCACGGGGCCCCGCGTCCACCCCTTGGGCGCCGAAGGTGCGCACGCAGTCCCCGCGGTCTCGGATGAGATCGACGAAGGTCAGAGCCCCGAATCATCAGGGGTAACTCGGGTCAGGGCCAACTCGGGTTCGTTTTTTCGGGAAAAAACGAACCCGACTTACCCTGGACCCGAGTTACCCCAGATAACTCGGGCCCCCAAGGAGGGCAACTTGCATAAGCACAGATCTCCCAGGGTCCGCGAGGATGGCTTGGATCGGCGCTGCGGCCCCCCTTGGGGCGGTGCCCCACTGCGCCCGGGAGGGTTTTTTTTTTTTCAGCGCATTTCTACAGAGCCGCGTGGACCCCCGAAAGTTTGTACTAAGGCTGTGGTCCTTACCTCTACAGGGAGGAGGAGGAGGAGGAGGAGGAGGAGGAGGAGGAAGAGGAGGAGGAGGAGGAGGAAGAGGAGGAGGAGGAGGAGGAGGGGTGCGACAGGCTCGTCGGGAGTCTGCGAGTCTAGGAAGAAGCACGCAGGCGCCGAGTTTGCGTCAGAGCAGGGCAGGGGGGGTCGCGGGCGGGTCGCGAGAGGGGATAGCGACAATTACGACAGTAATCTTAAGGCTCTTCGCTCTTCCCTGCCCGCATGTCTTTCTTACTCTATGCCCCAAGCCTCGATGCCCGCCGACTTCGTCTTCGATCGCACCCCCTTCTGGGGGGGGGGAAAGTGCGAGGAGATCTCGAACAAAAACAGCATGTGGTCGTTTCCTTATCCACTGTGTTTTGCCGATCGGCGCAGGCCTCGCACACACACACACACACACACACCACACACAACACACACAACACACAACACACACAACACACACAACACACACAACACACACAACACACACAACACACAACACACAACACACAACACACAACACACAACACACAACACACAACACACACAACACACACAACACACAACACACACACACACACACACACACACACACACACACAACACACACACACACACACACACACAACACACACACACATACACATACACATACACACACAACACAACACAACACAACACAACACAACACAACACAACACAACACAACACAACTTCCTCCTCCTCCTCCTCCTCCTCCTCACCCTGCTCCTCCTCCTCCCTCCTCCTTCCCCTTCATCCTCCCTCCTCCCCCCTCCTCCTCCTTCCTCCTCCTCCTCCTTCTCCTCCTCCTCCTCCTCCTCCTCCTCCTCCTCCTCCTCCGCCTCGTCCTCCTCCTGCTCCTTCTCCTCCTCCTCCTCCTCCGCCTCCTCCTCCTCCTCCTCCGAGGTCCAGAAGCAGACCTCCCCCATTCCGCCCAATGTCGAAACGCCGAATGAGAAAACGCTCATAGTCATACCCTCGCCGCAGGAGCCCGCTTCAGAAACGCGCCCAAGGATGGTAGATTGTTCGGCACCCTCACCTTCAAACTTCGGACCCCCAGGTTCCAATGTGCGCAGGGCGCGTTCCTGCTGCGAGTCGAGCGATTTTTCCATCCTCCCCATCTTCTTCAGGGGGCGGGAGGAGATCCAATTTGTGTTCTGCGCCTTCCCAATCCGTTGTTTCCTACCTACTTCTGGCCTGTGGTCATGGGACACCGAGTTGACCCCTTGTGGAATCAGGCGCCCTTTGTTGCAATACATGCCGTGCATTTGCCTCGCAGGCATCCCACGCTCGACGCGACATCCGAACTGCTGCACACGTTTGTGGCGCGGTGCAGTCTCACGGATGTGTTGTGTGCAATTCATGGAGTGGTGGGTGTTGGTGCAGCCGATTGCGCGAGCAGCACGAGCGGCACCTACAGTGACATGGTTGATAAACCAAGCCCCGTCAGAACAGGTGAACGAAGTCGATTGGATGTCATTGGGAGTCATACGTGTCATTGGATGTCATTGGGAGTCAGTTGAACAGTGAACAGCTGAACATACGTAGCCTTGGAGAGTCATTGTGTTGGGATGTGTTGAGCCTGACGGGCCAATTAGATTAGTAATCGCGCTGCCGACGTCCATTCGTGCACAAGCGACACCCAGCCCAGCTCCCTAATCATACTGTCGCTATCTACAGTATTAGCCTTTGTTTTGCATTATCATTCCGATCCCATTCCTTCTGGATGGCACGTCAAAGCCTAAGTCGTGGCGAGTCTGGAGGTGGTGTGGCTTTGTGATCTGGTTTCTGCTAGCGCACATCGGAGCGCACGCGTTGTCACGAGCGAGTTGCTCTGCCTGTTTGGCAGCGCCAACTCATGGGATGCCCACCGCCCACCAAGTCACCCCAATCCGACCCGAAGGCCTCGATTTGCCCTTCATTTCCAGTGGGGGGGGGCGAGGAACATTGAACACACACACATATGAAGCCCGTCCCCCCCCAAACCCGAACTTGGGCGAAGTTCGGGTCTTCGGGTTGGGTTGTAGTGGTTTGGTAGGTAGTCAAATGCGGAGCCCAGTGCGCAAGCAGCTGCACTCGTGCTTCTGCGCGCGTGTGTGTGTGCTTCTGCGTGTGTGTGTGTGTGTGTGTGTGTGCGTGTGTGTGTGCGTGCGTGTGTGTGTGTGTGCGTGTGTGTGTGTGTGTGTGCGTGCGTGCGTGTGTGTGTGCGTGAGTGTGTGTGTGTGTGTGTGCTGCGTCCGTTCCCGGGCCAAGTGTTCCCGCTCCGCGCGCAGCTCTCGCGCACCCTCCCGCCTCTTCTCTCGCCCCTGCACTGGGCACCGCTCGGACCTGCGCACTTTTTCTCGGCGAGGACCATCGAGGACCATCCTGGACCATCGAGCAAAGAAAAAGGCGCACGAAGCCGACAAATGCACGGGAAATGGACGTCCGAGCGACGGCAACACGTGTGCGCCTGCCGCCGCAGAGCCGAGGACACGCGCAACGTGAACCGCGCGGCGGACTACGTCAAGCGAAACCAGGAGGTCTTCGTCAAGATCATCGGCATCGCAGGCTCGAAGCTGAACCTGTCCATGCGCGAGGCCGACCAGGATGTCGGGGGCGGGGGGAGGGGGGCTCAATCGCCCTTCACACGCGGCTGCTCCGGCCGCATCGACGGGGATCCTCGGACCCGTCCGGCTGCCACGAGCAGGCGACGCGGGGATCGGAGGTGCGCGGTAGGGCTCTGTGAATCTGGCGGGCATCGGGCCCTGCAGCCGCCGCCCCCCGCCTTCAGTGCTGGTGTGGCTGGGTTGGTTCGATGATCCTCGGGACGTGTGTTAGCCCAATGTGTGTTCACCCCTTTTAGCCCAGCCGGTAGAGCATTACATCGCCTGCGTCGTATCGAAGGGCCTCGATGGACGAGCACACGTTGGCGCTAGCACACGTTCTGAGGATCATCGATGGGTGGGGCTGGGTGGCTGGTCGGCTGATGGGTTGGGCAGGTGGCCCACTCTGCTAGCTGTCTGATTCGACAGCCTGGCTGTGTGGATGGCGGGCTGAAAGGTTGGCTGGCTGGTTGGCAGGCTGCCTGGCTGGTTGGATGGCTGGCTGTTCCTGTTTCTCGGGCTCGGAGCACGGGCCTGCGTCTGTGACAGCGCGCTTGCGAGGGATCGTGGCCCAGGGATCGCAGATCCATCACTGTGTTACGCGTGGAAGGGCGGAGCTCAGAGTCTTTGTGAACGCAGCTCGGGGGTGGACGAGGTCAGCAGGAGTCATGGTTGCAAAATTGTTCAGACGTTAAGCTCGTTGCAACATTGTTGATTATTTTCTTGGGAAGCGTCACGCGTCCATTCCATGTGGTCCCTAACTGAAACCTCTTCTGGGATACGTTTACCCATTAGTCTGCAGGGGGATGAGGCCTGACGAATGTGTTGCATCACAACCGCAGACCTGACCAGCGATATCTGACACTTGGCAGCTGACAGACTGGGTCAGCAGTGCCATCCGCGGGGTTAAGGATACCTGGCTGGCAGTTTAGCGCCATGCGGTGTGGGCATCTGGCTAGCAGCTTTGGGCCAGGGGATGAGGGTGTCTTCCCAGCAGTTTTGGGCCAGGGGGTGAGGATGACAGGCTGACAGTTTTGGGCCAGGTGGTGAGGATACTACGTCTGACAGTCTTCAGAGCCAGGGAGTGAGGATACAAAGATGGGGCAGTTGCGGGCCAGGGGGGGAGATATCTGAGTGGCAGTTTTGAGCCAGAGGATGGGGATTTGGGGCTGGCACTTTTGAGCCAGTGGATGAGGCGATCCAGCTGGCAGTTTTGGGCCAGTGGGTGAGGATATTCGGCAGGCAGCTTTGGCCAGGGGGTGAGGAAATTTGCTTCGCCAGGGTATGGGGACTTTGGGCTGCCAGTGTTGGCCAGGGGGTGGGCATATCTGTCTGGCAGTTTGGGGACACGGGGTGAGGATATCTGGTTGGCAGGTCTGGGCCAAGGTGTGAGGATATCTGGCTGGGAGTTTTGTGGGCCAGGGGTTGAGGACATCTGGCTGTAGTCGTTTTGCTCCAGAGGTTCAGCACGCCTGGGGGTGAGGATATCTGGCTGGCAGTTGACGGCCAGATGGCATCACGTGTTCCCACGATCCGTAACCCCCCAGTGTTCTCGATCGCATCCCCGTTTCTGTCCCGCCCCTATGGACCCCGTGCCTGGGAGGGCCCCCCAGTGGCCGTCGACGAGGACCACCGCCAGCGAAAGGGACTCCGCCATGCAAGGCGTCCACTGATGCATCGGCGATGCGGCTCGATGTGGGGCCCGATGTTCTCCACGCCAGCGTCGCCGAGGCATCGCCGACGTCGCTGATGCATCGCCGGTGCATCGCCGTTGTGTCTGCCATGCTTACGTCGGGCGTGTCCCTCTAGAAAAAATAGTCTGGCGACGATTTTCCGACCATTTATTCTGAATATGTTTTGAGTACGTTTTTATGTTTCATCCAAAATCCGAATGTAGGGGATTTGCAATACCTAACCTTGGCCTCAGGTTTCGGGTCTGATGTCGAAGCGGCAAGCGTTTTCGAATGATCCCAAATGGGGAACGTATTTGCCCTCTCGGGGCGCCCTCTCGGGGGGCCCTGAAGAAAGAAACTCTTTTCGTCGGGGAGGGGCTCCGTGTTCCTCGATTGTTTCGCAGTTTGCCTTCCCGTAGATTCTCGATGGGAAATCGGAGATCCATGTGTGGAAAAATGGGGGCCCGTTTCTCATTTGGGGTTCCTAGGGTCAAGGCCCCGACTGTGCGTACTCGGAGGGCTGGGCTCTGCTCCTGTCGTGGCGGGGGCCCCTCTCAGGAGCCCCCGTGGCGCGTGCGGAGGCGCGATGGCTCGCCCCTGCCCCGCCTGCTGCGGGGGGAGGGCTGAGCCATGCGCCCCCCCCCTCCCTCCTCCACTCCCTCTCCTCCTCCTCCTCCTCCTCCTCCTCCTCCTCCTCCTCCTCGTCCTCGTCCTCCTCCTCCTCCTCCTCCTCCTCCTCCTCCTTTTTCCTCCTCCGCCTCCTCCTCCTCCTGCTCCTCCTCCTCCCCCTCCTCCTCCTCCCTCCTCCTCCTCCTCCTCCTCCTCCTCCTCCTCTCCTCCTCCTCCTCTCCTCCTCCTCCTCCTCCTCCTCCTCCTCCTCCTCCTCCTCCTCCCCTCCTCCTCCGCCTGCCTTCTCCTCCCCCTCCTCCTCCGCCTGCCTTCTCCTCCCCCTCCTTCTCAGCCTCCTCTGCATGGCTTCTCGCTCCTCCCGGGATGGAGGCCCATGGCACCCATTCGAGGGCCGTCTGTTCACCGTTTCCGCAAAAGTGTCTCTTGGAAAGTGGAAGCGGCAAAAACGCGGCGACCGGAAGCGGCAGAACAACGGCGCTGGGACTGGAGCCAGAGCTAGGACCGGGACTTGAAGAAAGGCGGCGACGGAGAAACGGCAAACAAACGGCGACGGAACAGGCAACAAGAAAAACGGCAAAACGGAACCAGTAAAAGCACGACCTTGTCGTTTCCAGGTTCTGCTAAGCCCCACCTTCCCCCCAATCCTCTCTCCAGTTCCCCGACCCCTTCCCCTTCCTCTCTCTCATTTTCCCCCTTCCCCCTTCCCTTCCCCTTCCCTTCCCCCCCCATTCCCTTCCCCTTCCCCCTAACTTCCTCCCCTTCCCCTTCCCCTTCCTCTCTCTCCTCTCCTGTTCTCCTTTCCTCCTTCTGCCTCCCTCGCACCGGCCCGCCCTCCGCATTCCTCCCCGCACTCAGGGGAAAGCACTCCCATCCCCCCCCCCCGAGGAGACCGGAGAGGACCTGAAGCCCCGCAACAAGAAGGCGCTGGACGAGGACAACGACGCGTCCAACCCCATGCGGAAGCGGAAGAAGGAACCCCAAGGGGGGCGCCAGTGTTTCGACGGCGAGCGAGGGGGGAAGTGAGAACGAGGAGGCCTTCTCAGACGGCGGCGGGGCTTTTCAGGAACCCTCGCGCCTTCGGAGAAATGTTCTGCGTCTTCGGGCAAGGCTTAATCAACTTCCCCGAAGCCTGGGGGACGTCCGAGCCTTCCGAGGAGGCCTTTTCCTTATCTTTTCCCCCCTGGGCTCGCCGCCGAGTGTTGTTTGGCGGAGCCGTGACACCGCCGCGCGCCGCTACCCAGGGGGTGCAGCACTGGCTGGCCGCTCTGGCCGCTCCGCGGTGGCCCACCTCGCCATCCACCAAGCGCGTCCCACGACTCGCAACATGCCTACTCGCAAACGTCGAACAAAAACACATGTCTACATCGATGTGATGCATCGTAAACCGCCTAGGGCGGATCCAGGTTATAGGTTATTTGCGAGTAGTTACCTTGCGAGTAGTGGAACGCGCTTGTGTAGCCATGTGAGTCGCCTCCCTCCCATCCTTCCGTTTCGCGGCCGTTTTCGTTTGTCTTCCTTTCTTTCCGCCTGCCGCCGGTTAGTGTGCGCTCTCCGTTCCCCGGGCCGCATGAACGCGCGCGCGGGCTTCGTCTGCCGCGCTGCGACGCACAAGTTTCGGCCTCGCGCAGAGGGGGATAGGGGGAGGGGGTAGGCTTTGTAGAAGCCCCCCCTGCTTCTCGGAAAACGCGGGCTTTCTATCAATGTACGGCCATTGCCTTCTAAGAAGCAGCGTCCTTGTAAGAAGCCTTCCCCCCTCCCCCATACCCCCTTGTGCGCGCCGCCAAAAGGTGCTGGTTGGCGACGCGCCATACAATGGTCAGCGAAGGGAGACCTCTGAATTTCAAGGCGCGCGGGCCTCCAGGTTCCAGGACCCCCCCTGCCTCCTTAGGCGGCCGCCCTCGGAGCCGTTTGGGACGAGCTTGAGCTTTTGGTTCCAATGCTGCCCCAACGAGCCAGAGTGACACCGTATACTCTCTTCCTCTGTTTTGGCCCCACCACGCAGCGTTTTCACGGCGTCCCATGCAGGTTTGAGGCGCAGACTGCGGCAAGCGCAGTCGCCTCCTCCTCATCGGTCTGCGCGTCACCAGGGCGATACCGGGGACTCTTCCACGGCTGGGCCTGCCGTCGCAGATTCATGGTCCCACTGCGTGGGCGCCGGCACCAAGAGGCCAGTCGTCTTTGGACGTGTTCTTCCTCCCCCCCCTTCCCGAGCAGAGGGGGGGGGACCTGCGACTGCGACTCGCTGTCGCGCCCCCCCCTCTTCACCGCAACAGCCTCCTCCCACCCCCTTGCGACAACGACAGATAGGAAAGAACGCCCTCTTTGAGGTGAGGAGAGGAACGAAAGGGGGAGGACTGCATTGTAGCGACTACGCCCTCAATGGTAGGCGTAGCCATTTATGTATCGGGTGGGGCACTTGGGTTCACCCACCCTTGTAAGTCTGTTCTGGTGAAGGTTGGGAGGTCCAGCCTGATATGGAATGGTACAACGTACCTTGCTATTGCACCTGAAATGGTGTATGTTATGCGTCCGACGCATGTCTTGGCAGCCACATCTGTTAGTTCAGGCTTCTGTACACATGCCACCTCGTGAGCTTCGGAATATGGTGGCAGTGATTCGGCGAAAGAGGTAAGAGGCTCGCTTCGGTATAACAGCACCAGGTCATGAGCCTCAAGAATTTGGCCAGAATGGCCGCCGTGCAACAATGAAATATTGTGAAACGGGCAGGGGTGCCAGGATGGAGGTCACACGTTTGGATTGCTCTCTCATAGTGTCTGGACGCGGGCAAGGAGGAAGCCCGCAGGCACCCAGGAAAGGCAAGCAACCAAGAGAACACCCCAGAGGGGCCGAATACGTTGAGTTTAGCATGCGACATGTTTCAGATAGGCGCTGTTTTCGGCATCGGACAAGAGGGAACGAATCCCAGACGCCGAGCTGGCGCCCACGCCTCCACCAAACCACTGCTAAGAGCAACGGCCCTCGAAGTGGAGGGCAGAGGGTGGCGGATGGGGACGTGCTGGGCCAGAAGGCTTTGAGCCAGGTCGGCTACAAGGATCGTGGCACGAACTCCCGAGCCCGACTCCTGGCTATGAAAGGGTTTTTTTGTTCCTGGAGACCAGGGTAACAAGAGCGTTTCGCTGAACCTATGTCACGGCGACGGTGCGTCGAACGAAGTATTCTACGCCGTGCCGTGCCAGACGACAATGGCGCAGTGGCCGGAACCCAAAGGACGGAGGAGAAAGGTGGAGATATAGACTGTGGGGGGGGGTGAGGGGAAGCCGGAGTCTGAGATTGCCTGGAGGTCTTCCCCCGAGCCCGTATGGATGTCCCATAGCTCATAGCCTTACAGCCTTACAGTAGCGGCCCTCTGGTCCACGCGGACCGTGGCCGTGTGAGACGGGGGTCCACCCCGCCTTTCAGAAGGGCACCGACTTGTGGATGCTGTCCTTGTACTCCTTGTGCCTCGCGAGGTCCCATAGCCTCCTCCTCCTGGTCCTCCTCCTTTTTCTCCGTATCTCTTTCCTGTTGGCTTCGCCCGGGCCCGTGTTGCTCTCACCCTTGGCCTGCCCCTTGCTGCTTGGGTTCAAGTCGTTTTTTCCGTTTTCAGTCTGCTGTGCTGCCTGCCGACTGGCGGGCCCGCAGATGGCCACCGCTTGTGCCGGCCCTGGAGACGGAACGAAGAAGGCCACGAGCGAGGAAAGCACGCAATCGGACTGGTTTGGCGGAGCTGTGGTTGACATCTATGTAGGGGCGGCCGAGCGTTCACCACAAACATGATCGAGCTGAGCATGAAAAGCAGAATGATGAACGACCAAGCAGTTGGACGCTCCCACCACCGTGATCATTGGATTGGTTGACCGAGGCGGCGTACCGCATTGAAGAACAACCATAAGAAACGACACCCTGGCGCGGGCGAGGCGCGGTGGCAGCGGAGATGACGAAAATGAGCAAGAGGCGAGCCTCGTGAAGAAGAATCTGGTGTACCCAGGACCCCAGGTAAGGGGACCCGGTTAGTAGTAGGGCCCTGAGGCCAATACGTTGGCCAGGGTCACTAAACCAGGTCTGCCGTAGCTGGTGTTTGTCCGCGTGTTGACGGTTCTGGTTAGCGGAACGTGGCGGGGGGGGGGGCGCCCCCCAGTACGCAGCACTGAACCAGACCCCACTACACCCAGTTCTGCCAACGCCCGAAGAAGAAGAGAGACGTTGCAGGGTGAAGTTGCTCGACGGACTGCGCGGACGAGCCTGGTGCCGCGCTGAGCATATATTTCGCCGTGGGCTTGGCGGGCCCGAAGGTGGGCGAGTGAGAATAGAGTATCCTCGAGGCTTCGGCGTCGCCGGATGAAGAAACGATCGCCAAGAAAGGCATTGCGCCCGACAGTTTCTTCAAGAGGAGTTTCCGCTGGCGCGGCACCAACACGGGCGATCCATCATCCAGCGAGGAGACGATGTGGGAGGAGCTGCAGGAGAGTGACAACCAGGTCGCATTATCGGATGCCTTGATCGTTTTCTCCACCCCGGACGGCGCCAGCCTCGCGGACGAGCAGAAGGGAAACATTGTTCTGAACTGCGGCCCAGGGTACAAGCTCGAGGTTCCCCCACGCTTTTTGGGAGTGCATTTCCACGACATGCAAGAGAGAGAGAGAGAGAGAGAGAGAGCGAGAGAAAGAGCGAGAGAGAGAGAGAGAGAGAGAGAGATAAGAGAGAGAGAGAGAGAGAGAGGGAGAGAGAGAGAGAGAGAGGGAGCGCGCGCGAGAGAGAAAAACGGTTTGAATCCAGCCCCAAATTGCACGAAGACGCGGCACAACGAGAAACAAGGCGGAAAAAAGGTGCGCAAGGTTGAGGGCACGGGCGGCGAGTTTCAGACGAGGGCTTCGAGGAGGGCGAAGATGCTACCGCCGCAGAGGGCGGCGACATCAGCGACCCAGGAACATCGAACGACGACGTGGTGTTCGAGGCATCCTCGGCCCCTGACGCGGCCCCAAAGAAGCTGGAATACACGGTGGAGGTCGCGTTTGAGGGGCGCCAGGGGCGCCTAGAGGAAGCGAGGGATCGCGCCCGCCACGGCGCCAGGGGGCGCATCGGACATTGGGCGGGGGGCGCCGAGCGGCCGACATCAGGGCGGCAGGGCGCGAAGAAGTTCGGCGTTGCAGGCGTGGCCGAGCCAAAAGGCGGACCGAAGGCGGAAAGCAGTCGCACCTCACGCTCGACGGCCTCGACAACGACGACGCGCCGATGGGCGGGGCCGCGGCCGAGTCCGGGGCGCCCCGCGGCGAGGGCCGCGACGGCGCGGCCGATGAGCGGGGACAGGGCGACGGCGGAGGGGGTTCGTTCCACGTGGACTCTCGCGCAGCCTCGGACGAGCGCGTCAATTGCCCGCGCGGCCGCCGGCCGAGCGACGAGCGCGAGGGCGACGGCCTCCGCGACCGCGATTGCGACAGGGGCCGACATTGGTTTCAAGGGGCGGCCGCGGCCTCGGCGACCCCCGCGGCAACGCCGAGGCCGTTGGCGGCCCCGGCGCCGCCTGGGCCCGAGATCGCATCGAAGACAGTCGACTTCAGCATGTGGAAGCTGGGCGACTTCTAGCAGCACCTCGGCGAGTTGCGATGACTGGCGAGCGGGAAGAGGCAGATTTTGATCGAGGGGCGCGCTGGCCATTGCAAGGACGCGGCGCGGACTTAGGGGGGGCGCACCGCCCCGACGGCGGAAGCTGCGCGCGCGATGTTTGGATCCTCAAGCAGGCCACTCGCGGAGAACATCAAGTGCGGCGACCGCAGCGAGCCAGGGCGCCGCGGCAGAGACGCGCGACGCCGGCCCCGCGCGGAGACGCAGGTCCACCGGGCGGCCAAGCATCTTCTGAAGGCAGATAGGAGTTGGGCGGCAGCCTGGGAGCGCGCACAGACGACTCCGAACCTGGCGAACCACGCGATGGAAAAGCCCCAAACGCAGGAATCGGCCGCGTCGGCATCAGGAACATCAGCGGCACGGGAATTCATCGACGAGGTCGGCGCGCTCGCCGGCCTGCCCGAGGGCCCGCGGCGCCACCGCGAGGGCGCGCGGGCGAAGACCGACGGCCTCGGCGGCAGCGAGCTCCGCGGGCGACTCGCGATCGCGCGGTCGCGAGGTGCAAGGGCGCGTGCGCTGGGAGCATCGGTAAGCAGGCGCGGCGCGCGGGCGACCCCCTGGGTCGGCCGGGGAAATTCGAGGTCGCAATCGCCGTGGGGGCCGCTGGGTTGCAGCATGAATGACGCGGCGGCGATTGTCGACGCCGCCCGTGCCCCATGCGCGCGCGGTTTGGAAGAAGATGGGCCCTTGGCGGTTGATCGCGTGTGGGAGCGGCTCCAAGGAGCAGGGTGACACGTTGGTGATCCCGATCGGCATCGGGGGATTTGGAGGCAAGGTCAACTCGACCGAGGTACTTGGGCCACGTCGTGGCCCGGCGCCTGGAAGCACTGCGCTTCTCCTGAAGCCGTGATTCCGCGGCGGTGCATTCGCGCGCATCGCGACGGACATGGACTGCGTCGGATAGGCGTTCGCTAATCTGCATGGGGAGGGGCGGCGACAATAGCGGGGATTCCGCAGACTCGGCGATGCGCGGCGCGGTCGCTGAGGAGCTGGAGGCCGATCGTCGAAGCGACGTCTGCCACGGCGGCTCGGAAGTGTCGTGTCGGAGTCGTAGAAAGGTCGGAGCGCGAGCTGTCAGGGCGACGGCCCGAAAGCGGTCGACGCTGCGCGAGCGACGAGAAGCGCGCAATCGAGTGACGAGGCGAGCTCGCCAACGGGGGGACAGAGGAGTCGACGGCGGCTTCGATGAGAGTCTCGGCCCAGGAGAAGTGGACCCGGGCCACGCCGGAGAAGGATTGCGTGCTTGCCCAGAAGATTACGGACGGAGTCTTCAAGACGGCGGTGAGATTCGAACCGTGGGACTGCGCTTTTGTCGTGGCCGGAGTGACATCGGGAGTTTCCGGATTGGCTTACTGGCAGCCGGCGGGCAAGATCGACCGCTGCGATCGGGCGACCAAAGACGGAGAGGACGTGTTTGTCAACATCTTTGGCGAGCAGGGCCCAGTCTTCACCGCCCTGACGCATAACTGCCGCATGTGCCCCGTGGTGGACTTGGGGGCGCCGCGGTGGGGGACTTGAAGGCGCTGCGGTGGACTCGAGACGCGAACGCGCTCAACCTCGCGAAGCGCGCATGCGTGCATCGCATCAAGCGCGGGGGATATTCCTAAGCGGGGCAATCCTGGCCAGCGGTTTCAATGGGGCCCAGGGGCATCTTGGTCGGCATCGCGCTTCAGCTTGGCTGGGGAGCGGTTTGTCTGAGGTGCGCGGCGCGGATTGGGCGGGGGTATTGACGGCGGCAAGCAATCCGATTCAGCTGACGGGGCACCTCGCGGATAGCCAGCGCGATCTCAGCAAGCTGGCCACCCGGCGCAGTTGCAATATTCCACGCGACACGGTCGAGGGCATCTGCTCAGCAGGAAGCGAGCAGCTCGAGCCACGGCCTCTCTTCCAAGAGCGGCGACGGCGATCTGCGAAGGCCTGGGGCAATATATCGAGTTCGACAGCGCGTCGGTTTTGGCCGCGGGGCACGCGGGGTCGAGCCGCCATGCGGAGGGCGGCGACATCGGGGCGCCGCCTGTCTGGGGGGCGCGCCGGGGCCCGAAACCACTCCGCCGAGTTGGAGGCCTACGGAGGCGAGACGTCGCGGCTGAATGCGCACGTCCAAGGAGAGAGCGACAAGGCGATTGAGATGACCAATAATTCCGCCGACCACCTCGCGCCCCTCGCGCTACTGTGGCCTTCGACGGGCCGAACTGCAGGCGGCGCCCGCCGCGGTCGAGTTGGCCGCGATGAGGCGCCCCGCGCCGTTTTGCTTCAGCGGCGCCGCCGAGGGATGCCCGCGCCAGGATCGAGCTGGGCGCTTGGCCTGAGGCCGGCTCGGAGGATTGGGCCAGCGTTGCCCCGCAGCAGCGCTTGATAACGATCGCAGGAGCCGACGCCCTCATCGCGGCGCGCGGTAGACCGATCGGCGATGTCGAGGACGAGGGGCAGGACATGGAAACCACGAGGGAGTTGCGTTAGGATCTGCCACAGGGAGAATTTCAGGCGGCGATGAGATGGCCGCGCCAGAACCAGGGCCACGCGCCAGAGGTCGAGGTGCTGATGCTGAGCGCCCTGTGTATTTCATGCACTTCGGAGGCAGCGATCAAGGCTTGCCTATTCTTCTTGTCTTCTTACTATCATCCTCCTTGCGCGCGCCGCGAGTGGGCGAGGCGGCCGCGCCTGGCCAGACCGAGCCAGCCCCCGGGCGCTGACAAGTTCAATGTGGTCGTGAGCGTTGACGTTTTCGTCGAGGGCTGTGTGCGAATATCACGCCTCTGGGACGCCCCATTCTAGATGGCGTGTCTCGTCGAGGTTCGCCAGACGGCGAGCTCCACCGAGCTCCTGGAGGCCCACGAGCAGCGCTGGGCATGTCGGGCCAGCGAGCCGGAGGCGGGGGTCGTCGCGGACGGGGCGGAGCTTTTGATCGGCATTTTTTCGGAGCACATCGCGAACCGAGGCTGCGCCGCTTTGTTCGGCCGCCAAGGCCGCCGCCTGGCGCGTGGCCAAGGTTGAGCGCCGCGGAGATCTGATTAACCAGGCAAAGAATTCCCTCTGTCGCAGATCGGGTTTTTTCTCCGACTACATGGGTCCCTGGTCGGCACATCCTGCTGCCGGCAGACCTTGCGGACGACGGCGAGGCGTTGCGGATTGGGCCGGTAGTTGCCTCGGCGACACCGACCGCGCAGTTCGCCCGAGAACATGCGCAGGGACACGCAGCTCGAGAGGCCCATGCGAGGATATCCAACGACGTTGCCAGCAAGAGAGCCGTACTACAACATGTACATCCTTATCGTGGACTTGTCATCGTGGGCGCCTGGGTCTTCTAGTTCGACCAAGAGAAGCAGAACAACCGACCCGATGGCGCCCAGACAGAGAGGCGTTGCACGCGTGATCAGCCACCAGGGCAAGCGCAATATCCGGATTGCACTGCGGCATCACGATCGCGCCCGCGCCAGAGCGCCCAGCCAGGTCGCCCGACGAGGACGTCGGCGCCTGGATCGTGATGGCGCCAGATGCGGACTTGACGGATGCGAATGGAGTGGCAGGAGGTAGCGGAGTCATTGACCTGCGACGTCGGCCCCCCCCCATCCAGAGTTTTAGAAATTCTGGGGCTCGAGCTCGGCCAGAGCCCGCGGCAGCCCGGCCGCCGCCCGAGGCGCCTAAACACGAGGTGACCGAGCCCGCGGAGACGCTGCAAGGTCCAGGGAAGGAGGTGCCGAAGGAGGGCCCGCCTCTGCCTCGGGGGCCGTCTCGAGCGCATCGGCGCCGGAGGCGGCGAGGGCGGCGCTGATGGAGGGGGCGGCGAATGATTTCTTCGGGGAGACGTTGGGGCCCAGTCACCTGGGCGCCCCGATGGGAGACGCCGGGGATCATGACCATCGCGGTAAACAGGCACCTGCCAGGCACCTGCAGCCGCAGGAACAGCACCACCGCCTGGAGAGGACATCGACAGATTGGCACATCCAGCAGATGAGGGCGCGGAAAGAGAAGCAATGATACAGAGGTTGTTGGACGATGCCCTTGCCTCCGTCCGCCGAGAGGGCGCCGTTCGCGGCTGCGACGATGGCAATTCGCCGCTGGAGACCGCGCGCGCGACTTGCGACAGCGACCGCTCCAACTGCGTCGAGCGCGGCGCCGCCGAGGGCGCTTTCGCTTTTGGAGCCGATGGAGGAGCGATTTGGCAATCGTGCTGGATGGGCCAGACGACCGCTCACAAGGGAATAACGAATGTGCACTTGACGGAGCTCGACAAAGACAGGCGCCAGCTCTTCGCTGGAACTGGAGGTTAAGATGACAATGAGTGGAAGGCATGGCAGGGCTTCGAAGCTAGCCAGATCATTGTTGGTCTGGAGGGGCGAGAAGATTTGGGAGAGCTAGCGCGAATTGATTAGCCCGGCCCAGTCGGCGAGGACCGACAACGAACGCACCATGGACGGCGACTTCGAGTTGGAATCGAGAGCGGTGGTCCAGGCTTTCAAGGATAAGCTTTGGTCAGTGCTTGCGAGATGCACCAATGGCCTCGGTGCGCGTGATCCCACTCATGATAGCGAGCGCAAGCGTGGTCATGAGCTGCGGCGACATCGAGATCGCGAGCTTCTCATGTCGTGGGATCGGTCGCAGTATACATATACATATTTATATATATATATATATGTATTTGCATACCCCACGTGGACTCGGTGGACTGCGCCCACGGCATTCGTTGAATACCAGTAGGCGGTCTACGAATTCGCGGAGGCGGTCCGTCTGTTCTGGCTAGCGTTTTGCGAGGTTCTTAAGAAAGGCGGATGGGCGCAGTCTGCGTCGGAACCACAGTTTTTCTGATGTGCGTGGCTCTGTTGAATCCATGGCGGGCATTCCGCGCACGCGTGGGCTGCTTGTTGGCGGGAGCTGCGGCGCGAGCAGAAAAGACAGTCGGGCGCGCAAAAGTGAAACTCAGCTGTTCAGGGTGGTTGACGGACGACCTCGCCTTCTGGCGCGAGGGTCAACGTTTGCTTAACGGAGACTCAGGCGTCACAATAAAGGACTACGCGCGGGCCGCGGACGGGGCGGCAGCCCCAGGAGACACGGGGAAGGGCTTGGCCAGGCCCACGACCGAGACAGAGGCGACATCTCCAAGGCATGCGGCGGGATTTATCGTTGGGTTCCCACGGAAGTTGCGAGCAGTTCAAACGGTTTTGGCTGGACTCGCGCAACGAACAATGGTAGCCTCGTGCATCGCGGCCCTGGTGACAATCAAGAGGCCAGTCACGATGGCAAGAGAGTCGCGGACTGCATGCAGAAGTTCCATACTGGCACCGATTTGGAGAAGGCCTTGGTCTTGATGGTGTGTGATTCTGGACACGCCAACGGCAGTCCCGAAGCGACGAAACAGCGAAATACAAGAGCATCGGAGGCCACGTGCGGTTCATCGTGGAGCATGACGCGCTGACCGACAATATGGTGAAGAAGGCTTCCATGGTGGACTTCAGTTCCCAATCGACACATCGAGTTTGCATAAACACCTTGGCTGCTGATGCATCGCATCTAGCGGGCTTTCTGGAAGCAGGAGATTGATTTGCGCGTTGCTCGAAGGGCGTTCAGCCGGAAGCTTGTCCTGGAGAGATGACATGGGTAACAAAGTTCTTGTTCGATGACTTTGCCGAGGAGGATCCTGGTTCGAGCCAGGATGAGTGGGTGATGGTGGAAGGAGCTGTGCCAAAAAAGTCTATGAGGCAACCCATCACGACCATGAGGTTTATGATTGAACGAAGCAGCTGCTCGACATCCAGACCAAGGAAGGAACCGACGCGGGGTATTTCCGACATTCCAGGAAGGACCCAGGAGAAGAAGGGAGCACAGCGAGACGCGAGGAATGTTAATAAGCACGAAAAGGAAGACATGCATCGGGAATGGAGAGAAAGAGAGAGAAAGAGAGATACAACAAAAGAGAGAGAGAGAGAGAGGGAGAGGACCGCCGTTGTAATCATATTCGCAGACCTTCGAGATGTCGCGGACAAGAGACTTATGAGTCTGAGGCTCCCTGGAAAGCATCCTTTGGGCCCGTATAGAGGCCCCGTGGCGTCCTGCTCCTCCGTACCCCATTCCTCTTAGCCGTGCCCGTGCCCGGGTTGCTCTCATCCCCGCCTGCCCGCTGCTGCTTGGGTTCACGTCGGTTTTTGTGTCTTCAGCTTGTTGTTCTCCCGCCGACTGGCGGGCCCGCAAGTAGCCACCGCTCGTGCCTGCCCTGGAGCTAGATAGACAGTCGGACGGAGGATAGACAGTCGGACGGAGGAGAGGAGGAGGAGGAGGAGGAGGAGGAGGAGGAGGAAAAGGAGGAAAAGGAGGAGGAGGAGGAGGAGGGAGACCATCGCATCTGACGGGCAAAAGAAACCCTGATCTGACAGTTGTGTGTTTCCAGCCCCGGGCGCCTGTTTCGCCCTTCGGGTGCGTATTTCAATAATGTTGGGGAACCGAGGACCATGGGGCTGGAGCCACGGGGCCGCGTGAAAGTTACATAGCAATTCCGGCACCGCAGGACAGCCATGTAGCGATGTTCTAGCGAACCCAAGCGGTGCAAGTGAGTGTTTCACGTTTCCTGCTGTCTTCAAGCCTTTGTCGCCGATTGCGCGTATCGCGTGAGAGTGTCAGGAGTGATGCGGAGAGCGTCGAACCACGTGGTTGGATTCACGGGGCCGCGGGACAGAAATATGGCGATCCATGGACCGCGGGGCAGTTTTGCTGCGATCTTCTTAGAGAGACACGGGGCAAGTGCGTCCTTCGCTTAGGTTTCCGGCGGCTTTCGCATTGGACTGAATCAAAAGGGTAATGTTTTGACGAGTGGCTGCCTCCAGTCCCTGACGCCCGTTGCGCCTCTTCGATGAGCCGTTCAAGGGTGATGTGGGGGAGCGAGCACCAAGGGGCTGGACTACGGGGCCGCGGGCAAGTTACATTGTGATATCGGGACCGCGGGGCAATCATGTAGCCATTTCCTAAGCCCAAACAGTGAAAGTGCGTCCTTCGCACTGGTTTGGGGAGATTTTCGCATCTGGCTGAACAACAGAGAACATAGTCTGGCAGTTGCTGCTTCCAGTCCCTGGCGCCTTGTGCGTTCCTCGGGTGGACATTTCAAGAGAGAGCGAGGGGAGGGGCAGGAGGGAGGGGGGGGAACCACTGGGCTGGGCTGGACTTGCCGCTCCTGAGATGTCGGAGGAGGAAGAGGAGGGGAAGGATGATGAGGAGGAGAGGAGGAGGAGTAGGAGGAGGAGGAGGAGGAGGGAAGGAAGGGGGAGGTACACCAGGAAGGGAGGAGGAGGAGGAGGCCGGTAGAGGAGGGGGAGGAAGAGGACGGGATTCACGGAAAAGGTCAGGAGGAGGAGGATGTGGGTAACCCAGGATGCACCAGCGATGCTTGAAGCAACATTTCCGTGTCATGCCCCTTTCCTTCAATCGTCACAGGCTTTCGTCTTGCACCACATTGAGCGCCCCCATTGAGAGAACAACCACCTGCCATTCAGGCGAGAGAGCCCTGCGTTGAACGGGAACCGCTTTGTACGTGTCCAGCGCGTAACTGAGAATGCGGAAAGGTGCTCCCTAAAATGAGCAGACATCCCCTCTCTCCGTGTAGCTGCTGCACGAGCTTGCGTTCATGACCTCTTTGATCGCGTCATTCAAGGTGGCTGTATCAGAGCTGTATCATGTGAATATCGCGGCAGTGTCTTATCTCCTCTTACCTTTGAGTTCAAGGATTGAAGTGGTTGTGCACTTTGAGCACGAATTTTGCGCTGAGGCGATTGTTCCATCTGAATAAAGGAACCGCCTCCCGTCATTGAAATGAGTGGAAGCTCTGACGACCAATGTGCGCGTCGCTGGGACGAGAGCCCCATCTTGAACACTATCCCTCCATCCTTGCAGTTGCTGCAAGCTTTTAGGACGAATGCTGGCGGGTCTAATGCGAAAGTTCCTTTTAAAAGTGCCCCCCCTCTCACATGTATTTGATGCAAGCTTTGAGACGAATGTGCGCAGAGCGGAGGCGAGAGCTTCCTGTTGAGAGCGCCTCCCACTTCCACCGTGAAACTGCTGCGCGTGGCAGGCTTCATGAAGGTCAGCGGCGAGAAAGTCTCATGCGAAGCGCTTGGCCCGCCCTGCCGACACGTCTGGAGTTGCGGCAGGGAGGTGCTGTTTGTGAGAGAGAGGGGATGCGGCAGGAGGAGGGCGCCGGTCGCGCTCTGCGCGCCAGCTGGCCCTCGGAGAGCGGCGTGCAGTTCGGCCCCGGGGGGCCCGCAGGAGAACGACGGCCTGGGCGAGATCACCGGCATCAGGCTCGACTTCGCCGACAACGAGTCGGCGAAGAAGAAGCTGCGCCAGAAGAAGAAGCTCTCCGAGTACGAGATGTGGGAGGCCCTTCATCGCTGCAGCGATGGGCCGCTCCGGCCCTCCCTCCCGGCCCAGAGGAGAGTGCTGCGGCTGTCGCCGTCGCGCCCTCCAGGTCGTGCCAGGAGAAGCTCGGGCCGGACGAAAGAGGGGGCATTGGGAAAGGGAGGGGGTTACGAAACTTGCTGCATGCAGCTGGCTTCGGCCTCACCGAGGGGCCCATTCCTCGATACATAGCCGCCTCCGGCGCCGGGAGGCGCCAGGAAAATCAGCTACGTGAGCTGATTCTCAAACCCCCCCTTTGCTATCCCCCCCTTTCGCCCGACCCGAGAAGCCCCGCTTCCTCTCTCCTCCACCCATTCCGCCTGGCGGCCCGTTTGAAATGGGTTAGGGTTATGATGTCCCAACCTACTTTGGCCTTGATCACGAGAACGAGTTTCGAGTTTCGAGCCCCCCAGAAAAGTGCCGGACTTCTATGGTTTTCACGTGTCGGGCCCTGGGAGACGCTCGTCCGACATTGTCTCGACACTGCTTCGACACCTTTCCTGGCGCTCGAAATTATTTCTGGGACGTGGTCCTTAAGTACGACGGGAGCAGCATAAGGTTAGGGGGCCACATGCGAACCCTACCCCGATCACGATTTCTGAGGGGGAGGGTGGGGTTCAGTTCGCTCGGGAGCTCCCGAACGAAGTGAACCCCACACTCCCCCTCAGAAATCGTGGGGGGTAGGGGTAGGGTTCGCATGTCGGGTCGGTAGCGGGGGGGAGGGCTTCCAGAACCTTGAAGCTGGCTGGGCGTCTGAGGTGGCCCAGCACCGTTTCCTGCCAGCAGAGGGGGGGCGGAAGTTTGAGGTTCTGAGCTCGAGGAGATTCTTGATTTTGACGGTCTCCAGGGGCCACGCTCGGGCCCCAGGCTTCCCAAAACCGGATTTGGGGTGAACAGTTGCAGATCGACCCCGAGAGAGAGAGAGAGAGAGAGATCTCGGATTTGCTCTCAACCCCCCGCCTTGTCAGCTTCTCGGGGCCCATCCAGCTCAGGCTCGGACCCCCTTGCCGCCTCCAACTCGCCTCCCCAGCCACGCGCAGAAGGGGTGTAAGGGGGGAGGGGGGAAGGCTTCTCAGAAGCACCCCTGCTTCTTAGAGGGCGCGGGCCTCATCTATGGATGTAAGGCCCGCGCCTTCTAAGGAGCAGCCCCCTTCTAAGAAGCCTTCCCCCCTCCCCCATACAGTCAACCCGCGTAAGGATGGGCAACCTTCCCAAGGGTACCCTTACATCCTTGCCTCCTCGGTCCATCCTCGGCCGCTCTCGGTGGCCGCGCCCCGCTCGCAGAGTGCCAGCATGGCCTTCCCAGGCCCCTGCATCCTTACCGTGGATCTCTTTGATACGGGCTGACTGTACCCTTTTGTGCGCGACGCCACCGCCCTCCTCTCCGCCCGGCGGCCAGCCTGGCATGGGTTGGTGGCCGGATTGGCTGAAGGCCTGTCCCTTCTCTGTCTCCCGGTGCACCGTGTGTCTGGCCCTCCGCCGCACACGTCCTACAGTGGAGGCCCACGCCAAGAAGCGCCTTGCTTGCCTCCTGGGCGCCCTTGGTTTCTTTGGGTCTCGATGGTTTTGCTGTGGAGAGCGTGGCGTTCCCACACCACGAACCAATGGGCGTCCTGGGGTCTCAGGGTTGGGTTTCTCGTGGAGGGGTTCTTGTGGACTGGCCTCCACCGTAGCCTCAGGAGGTCTTTAGTTGTTGTTCCCCCCCTCTCCTGTTTCTCTCGGCGGGGGAAAAAACTTGGGTACGGCAGAGGGTAGGGTATCCTACCTGGCCCTGTTCATACTGCTCCTCCTCCTCCTCCTAATTACTCTTTCTCCCCTCCTTTTCCTCTTTCTCCTTCTCCCCCTCCTCCTCCTCCTCATCCTCCTCCTCCTCCTCCTTCTCCTCCTTGCAATGTGGCGACGGCGGGTCTCGTTCTTCTCCTCCGTCCTCCCCGTGTCCTGAGCAGCGGAAGGCTGGCATCGTTTTGTCGCAGTACGGTTGCGGGGCTATCCTCGACGAAGGAAGTTGCATCAGGCGCGGATTTCTTGGATCGGCGCCGTGGCCCAGCGCCGATCCAAGAACAATCCGCGTGGACCTGAGAAAGTCTGTGGAGGAGGAGGAGGAGGAGGAAGAGGAGGAGGAGGAGGAGGAGAAGGAGGAGGAGGCGGAAGAGGAGGAGGAGGAGGAGGCGGAGGAGGAGGAGGGGTGCGTTGCACTGCGCCGCGCCCCCGCCTGCGAGGTCAAGCCCTGCCCAGCCCCTCCTCTGGCGAGCGGACCAGCAAGAGTGGAACCCTCTCGTTCTCGAGGTGTCTGGCCCCTTCCCTCCGTCCCCCCAGTCTCAAAGCTGCGCTCGCCGAAGAAGGAAACCACGCCATGAACATATGCTTTTGGCGCTCCGCGCGGGTGTCTTGGATCCGCGCGGGGCACCCCCAGCGGCGCCCCCGGGGCCGCCCTCGGCGCGCTCCGCGCGCCGCGCCGGGGAAGGGGGTCCAGCGCGGATCCGAGAAATCCGCGCGGCGCGCCAAAAGTGCGCCCCAGGCCGGGACGCCCCCGGAGCACGCGGGAGCACCCCCCCCGGAGCACCCGGAGCTCTCACAGCACGATCGTGGCCCACACCGGCCACCCGGGACGCCCGGAGCACCTGGAGCACCGAGAACACCAGGATTTGGACGCCCGAGATGGGCACGGAGACAAAGGGTACGATGCCCAACAACAGATGCTGTCCCAAACCAACAGCGGCCGCTGTTGGGCAGGCGGCCTTCTGTCTCAAGTGGACACAGCCCGCGGCGACACCGACAGCGAGTCCTGTTCAGAGTGAACAGGAGGTACTGCTGGGCACTGTACCCACTCTTTCCGTACCCATTTCGGGCGTCCAGCACCACCAGGCCGGAGAAGAAAAAACGCCATGAACACAAATTTTTGGCGCTCCGCGCGGATTTCGCCGGACCTAACCAGGAGCACCTGAAGCACTCGGGACACCCGGGACACCCAGAGCACCAAGAGCACTTGCAGAGTCAGAGCGCGCATGTCCGTAAGGAGCAGCCGCGGGGCACCCTGAACAGCCGGGACGCTTTCGAGAGGTGGGCACGCTTCCTCCGGGAGCAAGGGTGAGGAGGAATAGGCGATTGAGGGGGAAGAGAAGGAGGAGGAGGAGGAGGAGGAGGACGAGGAAGAAGAAAAGGGCGAGCAGAAGATCCAGACACCTCTTGAATGCCTCTCACAGACTCCTCGAATGTCTCTTGGAAGCTTTTTGGAGGCCTCTTCAGGCGTTTTGGGGGCATCTTGGCGGGACCCGTGGCGTCTTTGAGCATCTTGGCTGCTTCAGGAATCCTCGTGGGGCCGCTTGGGAGCCCCTTGAAGGCCACTTGGGCCCCTCTTGTAACGTCCGGGCGGCCCTTCGGAGCACTGGGGGCGCTCTTGGGGCCATCTTGGAGGAGATCTATCAAAGAAGGGGGAGCTTCAATTTGGCTTGCCCCTCTAAGCCCCTCTAGAGTGCCTAAAATCGTCTCTTGGACCCCTCTTGAGGCGGTCGTGGGGCGCTCTTGGGCCCTCTTGGGGCCGTCTTGGGGCTCTCTTGGGCCTCTCTTGGGGCTCTCTTGGGCCGTCTTCAGACCTCGGAGGGCCATCGAAGCCAACAAGCGAGAAGGCCAACATCACTGAATTGTCCTTCGGTGTTTGATGGATTTTGGCGTCTTGGCTGCATCCTTTGGGAGGCTCCGTGGCTACTTGGAGCCGTCTTCGAGCAGTCTTGGGGCCTCTTGGAGCATCTTGGAAGTCATGTTATGCCATTTTGGGCCATCTTGACTCTTCTTGGAGGTCGTCTTGGGTTCCCTGGGGCCCTCATGGAGCCATCTTGGGCCATCCTGGACGCCCGGGGTGCGCGCGATTGTAAACAGGTCTGTGCACTGCAATGCTCAAAGCCCTGCGATGCCGTCCGTCGTTCAGAGATCGGTCAGCCTCCAGGGGTGTGCCCGATTGAAAACAGAACTGTTTGCTGCAATGCGGATGGCCTCGCCGTGCCGTTCCGTCGTTCGGGGGGTTGTCGATTTCCCCAGTGGTGCGCACAATTCTAAACAGAACTGTGTGCTGCGGTGCTCAAGGTCTCGCGGTGCCGTTCCGTCGTTCGGGGGCCGTCCATTTCCGCAGTGGCGTGTAAGATTCGAAGCATAATCATCTGTTGCAATACTCAAGGCTGCGGGGCCGCTCCGTTGATCGAATGTGCGCGATTCTAAACCGCCGTTAACGAGCTGTCCGTGTCCCCTAGGTTGGGCCTGATTCTAAACGGAGCTTTCTATTGCAATGCTGAAATCGTTGCGGTGCTGCCGTTCAGTAGTTTGGGGGCTGTCCGATTCCTCAGGGGCATGCGCGACTCTAAACAATCTTTTCTATTGCAGTGCTCAAGACTCTGCCTGCGGTGCCGTTGCGTCGTTCGGTTGCTGTTCGGTTCCCTTGGGGAGTGTACGATGTCAAACACTGAACTTTATGCTGCATTGGCCGAGGCTCTACCGTGCCGTTCCGTCGCTCGGAAGGTTTTCAGTGATTTAGGGGTGTGCCAGATTCTGAACAGAAGTTTCTGTTGCAGTGTTCCGTGCCCCGCGGTGCCGTTCCGTCGTTCGCGGGTTGTCCATTTCCCCGGCAATTCGAAGTCGTTCAGGGGTTGTCCATTTCCCCAGAGGTGCGCATGATTCTAGTAAGAATTTTCTGCTGCAGTGCTGCAGGCCCTACAGATCCATTCCATCGTTCGTTGTGTTATTCCCTACCTAGGCTCTGCCTAGAAGGGTTCTTACTTTCTTTGCTAAAGGGGGCGGGCAGTGTGGCTCACCCCGGGCGGTTCCCCCGGTTGCGCCCCCCTGGTTCCCCCAGTTGCGCCCCCTGGGTTCCCCTAGCTTAGCTTAGCTTAACTTACCCTGAGCTTAGCTTCGCTTAGCTTTAGCTTAGCTTAGCTTAGCTTAGCTTAGCTTAGCTTAGCTTAGCTTAGCTTAGCTTAGCTTAGCTTAGCTTA